TATTTCTGCATTTGTCCTGTATAACGTGCCACGAGCAACTCCCTTTGAAATCACCAATGATCCTTTAGTGAGTCTCCACTTTTGATTTGCAAAATAGCTCTTGTATCCATCTCGGTCTAAAGTNCCATCTCGGTCTAAAGCAATTCCCGAGATCAAGTTCATCCGTAAATCAGGTACATGCCGCACATCCTTTAGAACCAATGTGCATCCGACATTTGTCTTGATACAAATGTCACCAATCCCCGCAATCTTTGAGTAACTTGTGTTACCCATTCTCACTATGTCGAAATCACCTGCTACATATCTGCAAAAAAGATCTCTTACCGGTGTGGCATGGTAAGATGCCGCTGTGTCAACCACCCATTCCGACTCTGGACCTGACAGGTGCATGCATTCCTCTTCCTCATTTATAAATAGGACAACATTATCATTGTTTTGCACCATGACGGTTCTGTTGTCGTCATTCTTCTGGCCACTGGTTTCACCTTTGCCCTTCCTTGGATTTGGGCAATCTCTTTTGAAGTGACCTGGTTGATCACATTGTAGCAATTTCTGGCTCTTGATTTGGATCGGTTCTTTGACTTCTCACGAGCTCCGGATCTACCATAATTGTTCGAACTCCTTTGATAACTCCTGCCTCTACCTTCTGTGATGAGAGCCTGTCCTTGATTTTCAGGCTTCTTTCTCATCTTCTCATTGAGTAGAAGAGCCGATGTGACATCTTTCAACTCAATAGTAGTCTTACCGTGCAGGATGGTTGTTGCCAAATTATCGTACGAAGATGGCAACGAGTTCAATAGCAAGATGGCTTTATCTTCTTCCTCGATTTTCACTCCGAGGTTGGCAAGCTGTGTGATTAGTCCGTTAAACACATTTAAATGTGACAAAAAATTCGTACCTTCACTCATGTGTAGGGCGTATAACTGCTTCTTCAGGTACAATTTATTTGTCAGCGTTTTGGACATGTATAGGCTTTCCAACCTTGTCCAAATTACACGTGCAGTGTCTTCATCAATGATGTTATTTACCACATTATCTGATAAGTGCAACCTGATTAAAATAGTAGCTCTTTCATCCAAGTCAGCCCATTCCTCAGCTTTCATGGTATCAGGCTTTTTGGCATCAACATCTAGTACCTTGTGTAATCCTTGTTGGATGAGCAGATCCCTCATCCTTCTTTGCCATGTTGAGAAACCGTTATCTCCGTTGAATTTTGCTACCTCGTACTTTACTCCGGACATTTTTATTTTTCACCGAGTATAGTATTACCGATAGAGAATAGTATTTCAGTAAACGAGCAGAACCTGTGCTCTGATAACAGTTGTTGGGAATAAACCCCCACAGAAATAATATTCACGGTAATAAAAGCGGAATAATAATGTAGCACCGAGATACGGTAATTAACAAGAATAAAAGAGTAACAACGACACCAAGATTTTTACGTGGAAAACCCTTTTAATAAGGGAAAAAACCACGGCCCCGAGAGGAGCAACTGATATCACTATAGTAAGGAATTTTACACTTTGTAGGTCAGAGTAAAATACTCTAAAAACCACTACAACACTCAAAAGAAATAACCCACTTTTGATATTCTCACCTCACTACAATATCGTCCACTCTCTATTTTCCTCACAGACTTTTTCTTATACCCTGTCTGTGAAACCTCACTCTTTCTTTCTCTCTTTGTTGGTGTGAAGAAATGAGAGTTGAAGCTCTCCTTTTATAGCCAGTCTACAATATTTGACAATTTACACACACTTTTCACAATTCAACAAAGTTGACTACCAAACCAAACTAATTCAACAAGGTTGGCTACCTAACCAAACCAAGTCAACAAGGTTGGCTACCAAACCAAAGAAACTTTTATTAGGCACATGCTTAATACTTCTTCAATGAGATGGACATCATCACTATGGCCGTGCAGCGATTGGATCGTCTGTTCTGGTTTTGTCTTCCGAGAGTGTTGCTAAACAATATCAAGGTCAAGTTGGAACTATGGGATTCCTTATGTCTACACTTGGATTTGTGTCATTACCAGGTTTGGCTTATTTTAGTAGGAATTACTCATGGATGGTACTTTATCTTTGGACTTCTTTTCCGGCTATAGTTTATTGTATGTTACTACAGTTTTGTGTATATGAATCACCAAGATGGCTACTTTCGAAAGGGAAAAATAGAGAGGCTTTTGCAGTCCTCAAAACATTTATAGCACCTTATTTGAAGAACCAAGATTTAAATCCTTCTGATCTGTTATCGAAACATGACAGGTGGTTACATATTACCAATGGTTCTAATCAACCATTGATCAAGATTTTGTTGAAGAAAAGATGGATTCTTGGACAGCTATTGCTAGCTCTAACAACTGGTTTTGGTATTGGATTGATGTACTATGGCATGCCATTAGGACTTGGCAACTTTAGCTTAAATCTCTACTTCAGTACGGGGCTAAACGCGTTGCTAGAGTTACCAGCATTCTTGATAGTCTTTTTCTTGGTAGAGAAATGCAAGAGAAGAAGCACACTAGTTGGACTAAGTGTTTTATCAGGTGTTTGTGGCATGTTGTGCATGATAGTGGACAAATGGAAAGTGTTACAGCTAGTATTGGAGTTAATTTCCTTCTTTAGTGCTTGTACTCCATTTGACTTGTTGCTGATATACACATCAATTTCCTTCTTTAATGCTACTGTGTCAATTGTGTGGCAGGCTGTGGTGCTCGGGGGCGTGGTAAGTCCAGTTTTGGTTGATGCAGGAGGAGATAGAAGCAAGATTTTACCATATTTGGTGCTTGGAATTATGACATCAATTGCAGGATCTTTGGTCATTTTTCTACCAGAAACAAAGGGATTGGAGCTTTGTAAGAACATAGAAGAGCAAGAACAAGAGGATTATGGAGCATCCTATGTGATGAATGGCGTGTGAGGCCATGAGGGTTGATCTTGTAGTTGTAGTGCCTCCACCAGTTGTATGTTTTGACTTAGAATTAAAATGTTAAGCTTATGATATGTCCATAATTTTCTCCTAAAATTTTATCTTCCTTTTTTTGCGAAGACGGTTAATTAATAGTTTAGGATCATATATTTCCTCTCCAAAAGCTGATTAATCAGTTGAATTTAAAACTTTCCATCTTCTATTGCAAGTGTTAACAAGTCGTGTGATGCAGTTAAAAAACCATCCTTTCCAAGAAAATCATAGTAGTAATAAGGATTGAGAGAATTGAGCATACACACAAAGCTTTGTGTGGCCTCAAATCTTGCAACTGATGTCTCTTTCTCTTAAATCTTTAAGGCACGATAAATATTTAGCACCATACCTGATACTCAGCAAACTTGGAATAATATCTTCCATGCAAATTTGATTTGCTATAAAGAACTGGTCCATTCATCCACCCTTTGAATGGTCTAATGGGCCAGTAGCTCAATCAGCATAGGGGTATGCCTTCTTCATTTTACTGGTTGAACTGCTCATTTGATGGAACCTTTTTCAACTTAATAACACAAGCTGCAATTCCATGTCCAATATATGTCAACTTTCTACCAATGAATGGAATTGGGATGAGCCTATTTACACATCCATTGTATCTGAATGGTCACTTCATTGTTCTGATAATCCTATACTTCAAGGCCTTCCTGCTTCATCTTTTTTCATGGGCTGCTTACTTGGTGGCCTAGTTCTTGGCCTTCTCGGCGACACAATTGGTCGAAAGACTATGCTATTTCTCGGGTGTTTGATCATGTCCATGGCTTCAATCTTCATTGCTTTCTCTTACAACATTTGGATGTACTCAGCCTTGATATTTCTAAGTGGCTATGGCCGTGCAGCGATTGGATCGTCTGTTCTGGTTTTGTTTTCTGAGAGTGTTGCTAAACAATATCAAGGTCAAGTAGGAACTATAGGATTCCTTATGTCTACACTTGGATTTGTATCTTTACCAGGTTTGGCTTATTTTAGTAGGAATTACTCATGGAGGGTACTTTATCTATGGACTTCTCTTCCAACAATAATTTATTGCATGTTACTACAGTTTTGTGTTTATGAGTCACCAAAATGGCTACTTTCAAAAGGGAAAAATAGAGAGGCTTTTGCTGTCCTCAAAACATTTAGCACCTCATTTCAAGAACCTAAGCTTAAATGATCACAAAGTTAAGATTGAAAATGGCTTTAATCAACCATTGATCAAGATTTTGTTGAAGAAAAGATGGATTCTTGGACAGCTATTGCTAGCTCTAACAACTGGTTTTGGTATTGGATTGATGTACTATGGCATGCCATTAGGACTTGGCAATTTTAGCTTAAATCTCTATTTGAGTACCGGACTAAACGCGTTGCTAGAGTTACCAGCATTCTTGAAAGTCTTTTTGTTGGTAGAAAAATGCAAAAGAAGTACACTCATTGGACTAAGTGTTTTATCAGGTGTCTGTGGCATGTTGTGCATGGTAGTGGACAAATGGAAAGTGTTACAGCTAGTATTGGAGTTGATTTCCTTCTTTAGCGCTTGTACTGCATTTGACTTGTTGNGGACAGCTATTGCTAGCTCTAACAACTGGTTTTGGTATTGGATTGATGTACTATGGCATGCCGCTAGGACTTGGCAACTTTAGCTTAAATCTGTACCTGAGTACCGGGCTAAACGCGATGCTAGAGTTACCAGCATTCTTGATAGTCTTTTTCTTGGTAGAGAAATGCAAGAGAAGAAGCACACTAGTTGGACTAAGTATTTTATCTGGTGTTTGTGGCATGTTATGTATGATAGTGGACAAATGGAAAGTGTTACAGCTAGTATTGGAGTTAATTTCCTTCTTTAGTGCTTGCACTGCATTTGACTTGTTTCTGATATACACATCAGAGTTGTTCCCAACTAGCATAAGGAATGCTACTGTGTCAATTGTGTGGCAGGCTGTGGTGCTCGGGGGCGTGGTAAGTCCAGTTTTGGTTGATGCAGGAGGAGATAGAAGCAAGATTTTACCATATTTGGTGCTTGGAATTATGACATCAATTGCAGGATCTTTGGTCATTTTTCTGCCAGAAATAAAGGGATTAGAGCTTTGTAAGAATATGGAAGAGCAAGCTCAAGAGGGTAATAGAGCACCTTATGTTATGAATGGGGTGTGAATGTTGATTTTGTAGTTGTTGTGTATCCATCATGTATAAGTTTTGACTTAGCACATAATATCTTCCTTTCTACTTAAAAATTAAAAGGGCAACATGACGCACTAAGTTCTCATTATGCGCGGAGTCAGGGGAAGGGCCAGACCACAAGGGCTATTGTACGCAGCCTTACCCTGCATTTCTGCAAGAGGTTGTTTCCACGGTTCGAACCCGTGACCTCATGTTCACATGGCAGCAACTTTACATGTTACTTAAAAGTTATGTTCTATTTTTTTGCGAAGCAGGTCAATATATAGCTTAGGATAAAAAATACTTCCTATGGTCTTTTTCAACTTTGATCAATATCATGTCACTTGGTACTAGCAGCTTTATGGCAAAATTTCTCTATCTTAAGGAGAAAAGGTAAAAATGGGCAACATATAGATGGATGAAGTAATATTTCTAATGATTTGAATATAGCTACTTTATAAACTTCACTCTCTTGATTTATCTAATATGACAAGTAATTTGGCATTACATTTATCTCAATCTCATCAAACTCCCATGTAGTTTGAGGCAAAAAAAAAGGGTATAAATTGTCTCTAAAAAGGTTGCAAAATCAAGAAATAGAAACCAAAAATGTCTGAGCCCGGGTTCGAACCGGGGACCTCTAGTGTGTGAGACTAGCGTGATAACCGACTACACCACCCAGACTTGTTTGCTAAACGTGGCTATAGTTTTAAAATAATGATAGAAATTCTTTTTTGTCAATAACTATAACGTTTACTTCACTTGTAGTTTAAAATATGGCACATACCTTGCTTCATCCAAAAAGAATATTGCGAAAAGTTTGTTTCAAAAGATACATTTTCTATTGTATTTCATAAGTACCTTGTTGTAATTTTATTACTACTTGGCTGCTTTATCTTATCTCTACTGTTCCTTGAGCCGAGTGTCCTATTGGAAACAGCCTCTCTATCTTTATAAGGTAGGGGTAAGATCTGCGTACATACTACCCTTCCCAAACCCCATTTATGGGATTACATTGAATTTGTTGTTGTTGTTGTTATTGTTGTAGCCTTAATTATTATATTTTGAGATTTGTAATACAACTCTCCCCTAGAAAAATAGAAGCGGTTGATATATTGCAATATCATTGAGTAAAGTTTCATGTCTACCTTCTATCTAAATAGCGTCGAAACGAGACTAATTAGTAAAAAGGAAGAAAATAGATTTCATATCTTTGCAGGTGTATTTAGTTTAAGCACAATGTTATGTGGATTCAACCATGTAATTTGTCTATTTAGTAAGGTTTCATATATTCATCATGGATAGCACTTCTATGTTGTTCTCCTTTTTCTGTTTCACTTGCAGAAAAATAGAAAGGCAGCCCGATGCACAAAGCATTCCGCATTCACGCAGGGTCGGGGCAAAAGCTACACTCCAAGGGGCTGTGATGTAGGCAACATACCCTGATGCAAGCATCAATAGCTGATTCCACGGCTTGAATCTGTAACCTATATATTGGTCACATAGAGAAACCACTTGGCTTCTTTGAGTTTTGGCTAGACATAAAATCCGTTTGGATTAGCTTAAAAAAAGTGATTTTTCAGCAGAAATAGCTTTTAAGCCAAAAAACAATAAGTTGGGGTTGCCCGGCTTATTGCTTTTGGTTTGTTTTAATCAGTTTTAACTTATTTTAAGCACTTTTTAACTTTGTCAAATACTAAAAAAAAAAACTATAAAAACATAAAAGCTGATTTGACCAGCTTAAAAGTCAATCCAAACACCCTCATGGTACCTCAAATTCAAAAATGAAAACAAAAGATCCAATTACCAAGTGCTAAAGCATAATCAAACCAAGCATGATCTTTCTGCTTTCACAATAAGCACCATAATCAAACAGAAGTTACCAGTTAACACCATTTAAGTGTATCACTGAATTCTTCAATAGAGCTACATGTACACACTACACAATGGCAAACCCCACACCCCCCTCCTTTCCTCCTCCACTTCGAGTAGGGGAGGCGGGAGAGAGTGGAGGAGCAAATATTCCTACAGAAATTCACCTGATTAGTGCAGCTTGCTACAAGCTGAAGTTCCTAAGTATCTTCCACGGCAATGGAAGACTAACACAATAGGCTAAAGGTAATCGAAGATGGTGTCTACTCTACATACAAAGAAGGGTTGCAAGTGTCCTCTTCCGCAAATTTTCTGCTGTACTATTGCCATCTTTTGGAAGACCTAACTGTAGAAGTGTTGCTGGCAGTGGATTTTTTAGAACCTGAAAAGCATAGAGAGGAAAAAGCAAAAGTTGGTACTCTTAGGGACAAAAATAAGAATGCTTTAGAAAGAAGGAAATAGCGCTACATTATTGTCATTTCTCTTCTCTAATTTGGATTTTGGAGAGCATTAACAAAGAAGGAAAATAAAGTTAAAGAACACATGAGAATCACATACTCGGGACTTTAGGGGTGCTCTTGTGCAATGATGACAACCGAGAAGATCCTGTTTGCACCTTCTTTTGTGTGGGCCGTGGAAGTTTAGCAGGTACAGGAGGCCTGAATCATTTACAAGAAAAGAGAATAAGTAAGTTCCTTTAATTTTTGATGAGCGTCTTTGGTGTCTTTAACAATGAGTTCAGTGCCAAAGCTTAGCTTCCTGCTTTTACCGTGTAGCTGTAAGCTGTCTTTGACAAAATACTGTACTAAGAAAACATGTGATCTAAAAGTCATGAAGTACACTTAAACTAGAAACGAGGAAGTGCAACTCCAAATTATATGGGACGCTCATTCAAAATGTAACCTGATGCATATCTTCGATTCTTTCTGTGAAGTTAAAATATGGATCGAAAATGAGAAAAGGAAAAAGGATAATTTCTACTACAAAGGCAGGTAAAGAACTTTTTCAGCACAAACAGATACCAGATATGTGACCTCTCAACCTGAAGTGCTACGGGAGGAGGAATTAGAGTTTCCACAAATGAATCAATATTCAACAAAAAATCCATTGAACTGTAAGGCAAGATCGCCAAAAAAGACATCAGAGATGGCATAATGTACGTATATCTGTAGAAACTCACTTCTCTGGGGTCTCTGAAGGTGGCTTTGCCGTTTCTGGGAAAAGAGTGTACTCTACAATGCTATTGATTGAACCATCAGTCTCAGTTCCCATTGAAAGCACACCATCAGATATGTCACTTAATCTCTCTTCAGAATCTGCATCATCAAATCCGATGAGCACCACATCTTCATTAGGATTCTGACATTCTCCTCTAACAGTGGCCCTTGAATCAGTCTCTTCACCCAAATTTAGACCAGCATCTACTACAGCAAGCCTGGATTGTCTAAAGAAATCTCTGTGATGCCTAAAGTCATCCATTGATTGCTGAGAGCCAGTGTCAGATTGTCTGTCGCTGTATTCCGAACTATTGTCCACGTCAGAAGCAGCCTTCTGAGTAGGTCTTGAGCTTCTCTCTCCAGAAAATATTTGGCTTGCTCGTGAACCACCTAAAGAATGCCTTCTTGGAGAGGCAGAGCCATGCCTGGTGGAACTCACACTACGCCTCTCACCATTGCCATTGGTTTTGAGAGCCCGCAGCCGCCCAATTTCCTCGTCCTTCTTTGTAATTGTGTCTTTTAAGTTAGCTACCTGAAAAATTACTATTCTATTTTCAGTAGTACTTTGTAAATGACCATAACAAAGGAAATAGAAACATAGCAAGCATCATAAATCTGGTGTACTCTAGAGAAGAGTTAAGCATGACAAGATTATTATTAAGACAGGGTTTTACTTGTAAATGCACAAATGTGACGTCGGATTTACAAAAAATAAGTAGACTGTACAACAGTAGATGCATGCAATGAGAAAAGGTAAGAGCAACTAGAATGACATTATCTACTGAGCTGCTGATATTCATTAGAACATGCCATGAAGTACCTGATCCATAAGCTCTTTAATACCTCGACCCTCTTTATTATTCCGTGCTGCACCCAACTCCACTCCAGACACCCTCTCAGCAAACTTCAGGGTGCTTATGGTTTCTGAGTAGGATTCCACATCAGGATTGAGCTGTACAAACATAAGTGTCTTTGCCTGGCCTCCTGTAACATGTAATGAGCAAAAATCAAGTAAATAAAGGTTTAATAGGAAAGAGAAGTAAAACTACTACAAAGGAAATAAAGCAATGTATTCAAATTTGAATTAACACTGAAGAGATATATAACTACCAAGGGAGCTTTGAAGAACTTGAGTTAGTTTACTATTTCTGTATGGCACATGAGAACTTTTTTGCGCCAATGCAAAGATCACATCTCCAAGAGCCGATAAGGATTTGTTTATATGTTGTGCTTCCCGTAAACGATCCCCTGTGGCTTCGGACCGATCTACTCTTTCACTGCCAGCCAGATCTACCAAATGCAAGCAACCTCGTAGAATAGCATTTGTTTCCAAGTCCATACCACGTACATGAACGGTAAGGATGCTGCATCAAAGTCAGTTCAAATAAACATGATGACGTTGCAGAATGAGAATGATTGTCCACAATGTGAATAAACAGTTTTAGCATAAGAGCTAACCTATGTGACCGGCTGCTTCTTTCATTTAAAGCAGTAGCACCAACAGCTCTATTCATCAAGCCAATATTCATCAATTCTAAGACATCTGCGGTTGATTTGACAGGATGCATGCTAGCATCTGGGACAGCTAATCCGTTGGGCTGAGTAGTACTCCAAATCCCAAGTGTGCGCAAGTTAAAGAAAACATCTGGAAATATATGGCATACGTATTTCTGACATCTCCACTAACTATTGAAATGGAAAACTTGAATATATTTATATAATTACATCGAAGCAATAGTGCTTCAAGGGAAATAAATGTGTGGAAAAAGAACAAAGAAAAGGTAAATAGTCAATGTATCAAAAACAAAAACGACAACTATGCCTCAGTCCTAAACAAGTTAAAGTCAACGATATGAATCCTTACTAACTATGTTTCTCCATTTAAAATCAACTCATGTCATCATC